GCTGTTATCTTGAAGTGCTTCATTTTCTTTCAAGTGCATGAATTTTTGTCAGACAATTGCTCGAATCACCTTTATCTAATCAATATCATGAGTGTTCTTCATTTTTGTATAGGTGGCGGGTGTCCCAGGGGTGACCGAAGCGCTATTCATAGCCAGACAATCTGCGCTTGCAGCAGAAAAAAGAAAGTTAGATGAGGCTCCCATGGTTTATAGCTGTGGTCTCTGTGGTAAAGGGTATAGAAGTTCTAAAGCCCACGCGCAGCACCTGAACTCTAAAAGTCACTTTTTGAGGGTTTCCGAAGGGAGCAGCGGCAATGGTGTTGGGAGTACAATCATAAAGCCTCTTACACGCCGCGCTCCAAAAGAGCCGTCTCATCATGTGGTGCAAGAAGATGGAGAAAGTGAAGAGAGTGAATGGGAAGAGGTAGATCCGGAAGAAGACTTAATTGAAGAGGCCCGCGATTCATTGGGAAAGCTTAATGTGGATGGAAACCCTTCAAATGCTGACATGGATGAGGATGAGGATGCGGAATTTGAGGACTTGGATCCTTGTAGTTGTTTTATGTGTGATTTGGAGCATGACACAATCGAGAACTGCATGGTTCATATGCACAAGCAGCACGGGTTCTTCATTCCCGATGTTGAGTATCTGAACGATCCCAAAGGTCTTCTCACATACCTTGGCCTCAAGGTAATGACTTGCCTTAAGAATAAAAAAGATAGAATGTTGCAAAAGAATCCAGGAATGCTTCAAAATTATAAAAAATTAATGTGGTTTAGTTTCCTCTTAACCTTCCTATACATAATTGATTTTCTTTCTTTTTTTTTTTCACAAATTTCCTTGAATTCATCAAAATCTTACCTGTTGCCCGTTGATCAAAAGAGGATCAAATATGCAAATGTCAAGGAGCTTCTCATCTATATATATATAAAAAGAATTACCATTTTATAAATATAGAAAGTTTTTCCCGCCAAATCATTAAATATATTCTAATTATAGTATAGTTGAACAATTGTAAATAAACACAAAAAACGGCTCCTTAAATGTAGTGTTCCTTAATTATAGTTTGGTGTTCCTTAATTATAGCTTGTGTTCCTTAATTATAGCTTGCACAATTAATGGCGTGGATTGGCTTTTTTGTTTAAACTTTCCCACAAATAAGCTTGCACAATTTTTGTTTTACATCTCAATCTGATTTTTTTTTTCAACACATTAATTAATTGTTTTTTAAAATAAAAAAACATTTTTTATTTAAAATTGTTTCAACACTGTCTGGGGGTAATATGACATTAATTAAAAAACAATGTTTTTTTTTTAAAAAAATTGTTTCACAATATTCATCGAAAAAAAACTGTACAATATTTTTTTGGTGTGTACAAAGTAAGTTGCTAAATAATTGAAAAGAATCACATCTTTCAAAGAATTCTCATATAAACTAAAACTTGGACAATCTATATCTATATATCTATATCTATATATATATTAAAAGCTAACCTATTTACTAAAAATAGTAGCAAGAAAAGTCAACACACATTTAATGCAAACCTTATTTAGAAATTTTTTATTATATGCATTAAATGCTTGCATTAAATTTTTTTACTATATGCATTAAAGTCAACACACATTTATTTTTTACTATATGCATTAAATACTTGCATTAAATTTTTTTGACCTTTATTTAATTATATAAACTAATATTTTTTAAAAAATTAATATTATTTATCAATTAAAAGATAATTATCACATCATTAAATGATTTTATTGATGGGTAGATAATAAAATTATATTAGTTATTCTTTAAAATTTTGTCATGTTATTTATTTGTATATTATTGTCAACTATGATAGTGTTTTTATCACTTTTTTTTGTTATGTTTCAAAAATGAACTTATTGTAAAATATTTTTCTATTGCATAGTATGTTAAATAAACTATAAAGCCTTAGGATGAAAATTAGAAAAAATCTCTTAATTATGTAAGGGATTTATTTTTTGGCAATTGCTAAATCATTTTTTTTTTCAAAAAGAATTATTATGAGAAAATTAAATTCTAATAAACATGTGTGTGTATTTTGTGAACATTTATACTCAAAATTTTATTTTGGATTTCATTGCATAAAGAAGACTACTTCTATAACTTTTATAAATAATAATAATGACATTATGACTATAAATTTTATAATAAAATAATAATTGAGTATTATATGGTGAACGAGAATAAATAAATTTTTTATTTTTTCTTATACCAATGAATAAATATGTATTCAAAAATCAAATAAATATTATTATGACGTGTTAGCGGAATTATATATTAATTAACATGTTAATTTTTTGGCTTAAATAAACGCCACTTATTAAAAGATGTGAAATATGGATGATCCAAGCTTATTGATTTTTTGTCTAGACGTACAAGTCCTATAGAAATAATTGATTTATTATATGTATCACGTGCATCGCACGGGGTATGCACTAGTTATTTAGGAAAGAAGTGCATTTCATACATGAATCCCTATAAATTAGAGATCTTATGGATAAATCATTAGTAAATCTATTTTCTTGGATTTATTATAAATCTTTTAAAGAATTATAATAATGGAATGGACATAAAAAATTTAGAAAAACATTTATTACATTATATTTTACATTTTTTTTAAAAAAAAATTATTTAAGAATTAATTTGAAGTCTTATCCAAATTATTTAGGAATATGTTACCAAAAAAAAAAAAAATGTGTCAAATTGGTTTTAAAATTTGAGATTTTAATGGGTTACACTAATCAAATTATTCCAAAATCTATTCACCATTTATGTTTTATCCAACTCATTTTATTTTGATTCCTTTTACAATCAATTGAAAAATCGTTCAATCTTTTCAATAGTTGAATTTTTTTTTTTTTTTTT